TGAACATCGCCACTGGGGAGACAAAGGCGGCCGGGCGTGATGGATCCAAGTCCCGGGCGAAGCCGGGTAGTACAGCTAGTGTCGATATATAATTATTTGTGTCACTAGGTGTCCACCAGATGCGGTGGAAACCAGGTGACACGGATAATCAGGAAGTATACACAACCCCCCTCTCTGATTGGCTACTTAATGGGGGCCTCAAAGGGGGACTGGTTAGAGGGCAGTGCAGGGGGCATTGAAGGCCGAGGTACGAACAATAGAAGTTGAGGCGGGCAAACGGAGGGGTGCTGGACAGGGGAGGTCTGTTTGGGGATCCGTGAGAGAACGAGTGGGAAGCTGATTGTCTGGAGATGGAAAGCGGAAGGTCAAGGAACCTTTGGGATGGTGGATTAAGGGATGTACAGGGTGCTTTTATTGTTTTAAACACTTCTGAGAATTTGCAACGATACCAGAAAAAATGTGCCTCCATGCTCTGGAGACCACCTGGAGAAGATTCCAGGCGCGCGTTGACAACGATGGCGAACAAGTGGGAGACCCTTTGCCTTTTTGAAGCTATTAACATTACATTTGTAATCATGTTACAGTCTATTATCATCCGTTCTTTGTCCATTAGAAACGATAGTCCCGTATAAATGTTAACATGTTTTTGAAGCATCCTGTATAAAGGGAAAGCGAGGCAGTTTGGAGTGAAGGGAATCAAGACTGCGTGTGTCTCCTTGCTGGATGAAATAAAGACTCCCGTTGTTGTAGACTTCTGTGATCTGGTGTCACTACGATTGTACATCTACTTACGAACATTCGACTATCAGAGATACGAACAAAACCTGTCCCGTATATCCAGTTGCAGCATGTTTGTTTCAACATGGCCGACTTTCCATAGCGAGCGAGGAGGCGACCCGAGTGGCGAATGTGTGAGAGTGTGTGAGGGAGTGTGGAAGGAAATGAGTGTGTGTGAGGGGTTAGGGGGTGAGTGTGTGAGGGAATGAGTGCGTTAGGGATTTGGGGGTGACAATGGTCGTGGTGGAGTCCCAGCACTGCGGCCTGGTGCCCCGGGGAGCCTCGGTCTCGCCTGGCTCGGCGGCAGGGTTCAGCTCGCCCTGGTCCGGCCGGAACTCGAGCTCCGAGGCCTGGGCCGCTTCGGGCTCGGAGGATGAGGGACGAGGCGCTGGGCGTGCGTGCGGCCTCGGTGGCCCCGCAAGAGGCAGCGGCTCCCGCATCTCTCTGCCGAGGAGAAGCTCCTGCGACGATGCAGCCTCTTGGCCGTGACAGAACTGGGGGGGGGGGGGGGGGGGCGACGGAGCCGGGGGGGGGCGGACGGCGCGAGCAAAGGTAGCCAACACTGACTCACTCACACATCATACACTCATCACTCACACATCATACACTCACTCACATCATACACTCACTCACATCATACACTGACTCACTCACACATCATACACTCGCACAACCACTGACCCATTCACTCATCATACACAGGTTCACTCATCGTGCGCTGGCTCACTCGCACATCATACACTCACACTGCCGCTGACTCGCTCACACATCGTGCGCTGACTCACATCATACACTCAAGCTACTACTGACTCACTCACATCATACACTGGGAGTGTCGTGCTGCCAGCTATGGCTGCAGGTTTTGTCGTACGTGTTATGTATATCGTTTATTGTTAAATTTAAAATCACAGTTCATATGATTACTGTTGTTACATTGTTTTTTAGCTTTATTTTGGTGATTCGAAAACATATGGTTAATCTAAATTGTCTTATGGTTGTTGTTGTTGGCTTGCACCATATTGGATTTTTGCACACAGCGTTTTAATACTCTTTTTTATGTTTGCTGGTTTATTCCAGGATGTTTCTGTTACACGTTGTCGCTTTAAGATGTTCTGTGTTCATATTTTGTTTGTTGCGGTTGCACCCGACTTAATAGCCGGATGGCTCACAAGGCTATACCTAATAAATGAAACTTGAAACGTGTGTGGACCGACACTCGTAAGTTTAACCGCCTCGCAATAGATGGCGGTGAAGAACCAGTGGCATCTACATCTGCAGAACGTGAAGAACCTGTGGCATCTACGTCTGCAGAACGTGATGAACCAGTGGTATCTACATCTGCAAAACGTGAAGAACCAGTGGCTTCTACGTCTGCAGAACGTGATGAACCCGTGGCATCTACATCTGCAGAACACGAAGAACCTGTGGCATCTACGTCTGCAGAACGTGATGAACCAGTGGTATCTACATCTGCAAAACGTGAAAAACCAGTGGCATCTATGTATGCAGAACGTGATGAGCCCGTGGCAGTATATAGTTACTGTAGTTATTTGCACGTCCGTTTTTATATTTACTGTAGTTATTTGCATGTACGTTTTTCGCCGGCCAAAATAAATTCGCAAGGCTAAATAAAGGATCTGCTTTGACATTCGTCCATTTTTGACATTCGTCAATGCTCTGGTCCCTAAGCAGACGAAAGTGCAAAGGTGTTCCTGTATATACCTTAAACCACCTCCACCTCTCTCGATTGCTTCATTCATAGTTTTTGGTTCTTTCGGTAAAGTCACGTAGATAGAATTTTTAAAATAAATTTGTATTTAATTTTATTATTTTATTTTAATTACTGAAAGAACCAATAATAAGTCTACATTATAGACTACCAGCACACTCACCCAGCTTAAGAACCAGGCTACAGTCTACATTATAGGCTGTCAGTACGCTCACTTAGATTAAGAACCAGGCTACAGTCTAAATTATAGACTGTCAGTACACTCAGCTTAAGAACCATGCTACAGTCTATATTATAGACTGCCAGTACACTCGTTCAGCTTAATAACCAGCCTACAGTCTACATTATAGACTGCCAGCACACTCACTTAGATAAATAACCAGGCTAGTCTACATTATAGACTGTCAGTACACTCACTTAGATTAAGAACCAGGCTACAGTCTACATTATAGACTGCCAATACACTCACTTAGATTAAGAACCAGGCTACAGTCTACATTATTGACTGCCAATACACTCACTTAGATTAATAACCAGGCTACAGTCTACATTATAAACTGACAGTACACTCACTTAGATTAAGAACCAGGATACAGTCTACATTAGTGTGTTTTTTAATTCACTTTATTTTTATTATGATTTTTCTCTCTACGTGACTTGACGGAAAGAACCAAAGAATATAAATTCCTGCAGTCACGGAAGTTTTAAGTCAAAATTTGCTCCCTTCACCTTCCACTTCCCCTCTCCAGCCAATCACCTTCCCACTCGTTCTCTCACGGATACCCAAACCGACCTCCCCTGTCCAGCACCCTCCGTTTTCCCGCGTCTCCATCCATTTTGTATCTCGACCTCCATTGGCCCCTTCAATGCCCTGCCTCTAACCAATCACCGTCTCAGGCCCCGTTAAGTAACCAATCAGAGAATGCGAGAGGGGTGGGAGGGGCTTGTTTTTTTACCTCCTGAGTGTGACGCGGTGTGTGTACGCGTGTCTGTGTGTGGGTGGGTCCACGTCTAGCCAAGCCCCTCCCACTCCCCTACCAGTTACCAGACGTTGGTCCCTAGACAGAAGTTCCTCTTCTTCCTCTTCTCATCCACTCTGCTGCTGTCCGCACATGGCACTGGAACTGCAACTGCCTCCCAGATGAACACCACACAGACGTGTTCACCCACACACCCACACACGTGTTCAGCCACACACACTCGTGTACACTCACACACACTCGTGTACACCCACACACACTCGTGTACACCCACACACACTCGTGTACACCCACACACACTCGTGTACACCCACCCCTTGCAGCACACTGTCTTTGCGCTGCAGTGGTACCCAACAATCATGCTGATGTAGATGCTCATATTCTATGTAGATGTCACTCACGTCTCACATGGCTATTGTTCGTGATGTTCTGTCCGTCGACAAATATGGGGGTGCGTGTTTATAGGGGATCTTTCTGATATGAGGGTGCTGAGTTTGGTCACGTGACCAGAAAGTTCCGGGTAAAGGGGCTCTAAGCCACGAGGCCAGCAGGGAGTGGCGGCCATTACACAGAGTACAAAATGGAGGTACAATTAGTGTCTCAGTGAAGACGGGTGCATCTGTGCATTGCGGGACTTTGAGAAGCATTGTCTGTAAATTCGTTTATGTTCTCATAATACTGGGGAATGCTGTTACGATGTTGGGGTTGCCGTTATAATGCTGCAAATGCCCTTAGAATGCTGTAAAAATTTTTGAGATGAATATGGGGCCTAGTTAACAACGATGCCTGCCACTTACATTAACGTGAATGTTTTTTGTAAGTTGGATAAGTCGAGCCAGAATTGTGCCCCTGTAACTTTAATTTGTTCTTGAGAGTGAGGATGTAGAAGTATCTCATCCACAGTTCAGTGTTATACGTAGCACTGTACATTTAGGCTGCGGTATGGTGACTACACAAAGTAACATTATTTAACGCAGTTGCTTATTCTCTTGTTGTATAGCTTTTCAGTGCTAATGTATGTGCCTGATCCATCCAGGGCCTATTGTTGAGATTCAGGTTATCTAAGACAATGTTATGATGCTGCAGTGTTCATTTATTGTATTGATATTGCAAGTGTAATGGGTTAATTTTAGGCACACACACTTCTTGGGAGGCAACACTCATTTATTAGAACAGTAAGTATTATAACACTGCACATTACACATAGGGTGGTGACCACCGACCTACTCTAGATTACACACACTTCTCTAATTCTCAGCTACTCTAGTGTGACCCAGCCAGGTGGGCAACTGGCAGGTCCGCTGACTGGAGGCTTGTCTCTTCTTGGCGTCTTCACGAGGCGTCTTCCTTCATTCTCGGCACAGGCAGCCTCGAACCTCGTGAGGAGGCTGCTGATATGGGCCTCGGCGTGACCGGGCCCCACCCCGGCCACGCCTCCCTTCGAGCTCCCTCTGGAAGGCCCGCCCTGCTGTCCACGTGCCCCCCCGAGGTTCCCCCGGGCCCCCGGCCCCCACTGGGATCCGGTCACGTGACCAGCACCGGCCCTGACGTCATTCCCGCCTCCAGCCGGGATGACGTCATGTGTGTGTGTAGACCCACGTGGTAGTAACGCTCCCGGCACAGTGACGTCACACGTGTGCGTGTGTACACAGTAGTGATGCCACAATCATTACACGAGTATTAATGAATGCTGCATTTTGTGTTTTGTTTTTACATCAGTTTTACTTCGTTGAGAAACATGAAACTCGTTGAAACTCATTGATACTCATCGAAGCTCATTAATGTTCATTCTCATTCATTAAATACGTTGGAGTCGGATGTTCACCCTGGCTCTGAAGGTTTATTGAATGCCTACGTGGTTAAATCGCTGTTATTCACAATTGCACCCATTGAAAATTGTGTAATTCCACACTACGTAGTGCGTTTACAAAGCAACAAATGTCACAACAAGAGGTCAGGCAGCCGTCAAACGGACGAGGTGATTGGACAGAGGCTTTTATTGATTAATAAACCATGATTAGTATTCGCGATAAGCGATGTGCAAAGTTTTCACATGGAGTGTCAGCTTAGAGGTCATAATATTGGCCTAACGTTGATTGACTGTAGTCAAATGTTAACTACATATCAAAGCTCCGGGTCTCCTTGGCCACGTTCATTCCCTCCCTTCTCTGCGCTTGCGAAACGTGGACCTCCCCTCCCCTAATGGAACATCTTTGCCGGTTAGCCACATTCAGGCTGGCCCTGCCTACGATCTAGCCTGGGTTTAACCTGCAAGTTGGATTGTGTGAGGAGCTCACAAATCGTTGAAGGATGTGGACAAAGTCCCTTCATCAGTGAGCTCCGGCAGGCAAGGCTGCGTTGGCTTGGTCATGTAGCCCGCATGATCAGCCACCGCATGCCCAAGAGTTTCTGTTGGGCTGGATAGAGGGGACTAAACGGGCGAGGCACGGACTAGAGAAGAGATGGAGTGATGTGGTACAGGAGGATGTGGAGCTGAGTGGACTTGCCGATGACTTGTACCAGCGTGTCAAGATCGGCCTCTGTGGAGGAGGCTCGTGAAGGATGCTACTACTGGGCAGTTGGAGGCAGTCGCCCTCCAGTAACAGCAGAGGGCAGAGGAGCGACGCTCACAAGAACGAGCGGAGCGCCGGACAAATACATTGCAGCAACTTGGCGCAGTAGGGGGCATAGGTGGTGCTTCTGCCAGTCATCTCATTTGGTCAATATATGACACTTGCTGGGTCTGTCCTGTGACCTGCTCCTGCACCTAGCCTGGCACAGCAGTCCAACCCATGGCACCTGCAGGGTCTGTCCCGTGACCTCCTGCCAGCAGCGAGCCTTCGACATTGACAATTTCAGTTCTATGTTTATCTTCATCCATACTAATTGAATCTAAAAGCTGCGTTGGATACGATAATTATAATTGCATAATCACGTTCAGGGCGACATCGTGTGCATGGCAATTATTATAATTGTTGTTACTTACTACAGCGAATTAAATCCGTCAGATAACGAGAATTAATTAAAAGCAATCGAGGAATGCGATTAGAAATAGTACGAGCAACGTCAACATGAAACCCGACAGCTCAAAATTTAAATCAGTAAGCAATAATCAATAAATGGTTACACAAATGAAAGGTATAAGCAACATAATAGTTACCACACACACACAGAGGAATAGAAAAGTATTTGTGTGCACGCGTGGTGTGTGTGTGCACACGTGTGTGTACTCGTGAGTGTGTGTGTGTGTACATGTGTGTGCGGTGGGTGTACACGTGCGTGTGTGTTCACGTGTGTGTGGGTGTACACGTGTGTGTAATTATTATTTTTGGTTGTAAATTAATTATTATTTAATAGTTTTAATATGTACTTGTTTTGTAAGTGTGGACAGTGATATAGGCGGTGCGTATATACAGGTTGCTTCAAATAAATGTTCACACTTTTGAGAATGTTGAACACAACCACGAGAAATGTGCCGCCTCCGGTCTCTGGAGACCACCAGAAGGAGATTCCAGGCGCGCGTTGACAACGATGGCGAACAAGCGGGAGAATCTTTGAAGCTATTAACAATACATTTGTTATCATGTTACAGTCCATTATTATCTGTTGTTTTCCATTAAAAATTATCGTCCCATGTAAGTGTTAACACTTTTTTGAAGTACCCTTTTTTATTGATGTTGTTGGGGTTAGGCGTAGCGTTTGAATGATCATTCGAAATGCACCGCTCATTGTGAACAGCTAAGTATGGGTGCTGTCTACCCTCGCTGGCGGTGGTGAAACAGCAGGAGGTCGTGTTTAGATGTTCAAACACCAAACAGAAGCCTTTTGCAAGGAATAAAGTTTCTGCATTGACCACCACACGGAACTTGTGGTGACCAGGCAAACCAAATCCAATGGCTCTGGACTATATTGATGGCAGTGTCTTTGTAACTGATTGGTCTATACCATAGGTACAAGTGTAAGTTGTGAAGGGGGGGGGGTGAGTGGGAACCGCGTACGCTGAGCCCCCATTGTGTACTCTGAGACCTTGCTGTACGTATCGAGGGGGTGGATACCCATCATCTATTTCCTATTTCTCTGGATGTAATCGGTGGTTTTCGCCATGTGGATCAGGTGCAACTTCAAGTCGTCGTACGTCTTCTGCCAGTGCTCTGCTATCTTTGACGGGCTCCCCTTATGCAGATCGACCCCGGCCAAGATCAGGCTCGCGACGTCGACTACGAGGAACACGGAGCTCACTGCGATCCCGGCTACCCGCAAGCCGCCGCTCGCCACACCCTTCACCACCGCCAAAGCGACGTCGTCGGCCACTTTCGCGCCTTCCACAGCCACTTTCGCGCCTTCCACAGCCACTTTCGTGCCAACCACGGCCATTTTTGTGCTTTGCATGGCCATTTTCGTGGCAACCGCGGCCACTTTTGTGCCTTCCACGGCCACTTTCGTGCTTTCCGTGGCCACTTTCGCGCTAATCGTGGCCACTGTCGCGCCAAACGCAGCCACTGTCGCGCCTTCCGCGGCCAGTTTCGCGCCTTTCACGGCCATTTTAGTGCTTGCCCCGGCCACTGTCGTGTCAACTGCGGCCAGTTTCGCGCCTTCCGCGGCCAGTTTCGCATTCCTGGCCATATCAATTCCGGTTAAGAAGCCTCTCCACGCCCATTTATCAAAAGATATTTCAACATAAGTTTCGATTTTCTCACAAGTGACTTTGGTCACCAGCGTGGCCATGGTGACAACGTTGAGCTTGCTCACTGCCAAGTAAATCGACTGCACGGCTTCAGCGAGCTTCTCGCCAGCAATTTTATCCTTCTCGATGTTTTCTGTCGCCTCCTTGGTCGAGGCTTTGTTCATCACCAGCACGGCGATCGACGCCCCCGCGGCCGTGATGCCTCCGGCAACCCCCGTGGCCGTGCCGGCGATGGTGAGGCCCAGAGACGCGCCGAAGGTCACCGGGATGAGGGCTATGCCGGCGATGGCCATGGCACCACCAGCGATGCTCGCGGAAGAGCCAGCGACCTTGGAGATGTTGCCGTCTCGCGCTCTCTTCTTCAGCTGAACGATCATGTCGGCGAGCATCTTCAAGACCCCAATTCTTTTCTTCTTCCATTCTGGAAATACCTCCACGAGTTTGCTGTGTGCTTTCGACTGTTTTGGAAACAACAACAAAAGGTGAAGCAAGGATGGTGGAATGCATTTTTTTTGACAGTGACATGAAGACAACTGATTACGTAAAGTCGTTATCCTTTCGGAGTACCCTTTGAAACGTGTAGATCCAGTATATGTCTGAATTCTGTAACGGCAAAAAGCCACTGTGAGTGGCCACGTGGAATGTCTGATCACTCACTGAGGAGGAGAGGCTGCCATTCCTCTGTCTGGAGCTGGACCAGTACCGCCTAGATCTCTGCATTATTCAGGTGGTTCGGTAGATTGGCTCTGGCTCTTGCAACCATGAGGGGTGGACAGTCCTCTACTCAAAGCAGGAGACTGCTAAACAACAGGGAGTGGCTTTTGTTCTGAACTAAATAATTAAGGGAGCGTGGGAGCGTGGCGGTGAAGTGTGAAAAGCTGTCAGCCCCAGACTACTGTGGTCTCGCCTCCCCATAAATCGGACGCAATAAATGGTGGTGGTGATTGCTTACAACCTCCCTGATCATGAACATCAGTGGAGAGATGCAGGTAAGTCCGATGCCTTCGATGACCTCCTGTCACAGGTGCTAGCTTAAGTGGCCTCTCTGGATGGAATCATCCTGTTGAGTTACTTTAATGCCCGAGTTGGTCATGATGCTGCACCTGGTCTAGAGTGATTGGAAGGCATGGGCCAAATCAGCTCAATAACAACGGTAGGAGGCTGCGTGACTTCTGTGCAGCCCATGGGCTTGTGATTACCAACACGCTGTTCCGACATCGGCACATCCACACAACATCATGGATGCATGCTGGGCCCAAGCAAGAACGTCTGGATTATATAGTGACAGAACAGTGGATGTGGGCCCATGTCCTTGACCCTAGGACCTACCGTGGAGCTGATCTGCTCACTGACCATCAACTTATACTCTTTGGTTCTTTCGGTAAAGTCATGTAGGTATAAAATAAAATACATCTTTTTTTAAATTTTATTTTATATCTATACCTACGTGACTTTACCGAAAGAACCAGATTCCTGCAGTCAAATCAAGATTGACCATCGACTTGTCATCTGTAAAATGCGCCTGACATTATTCCACTCCGGTGGTGGGTGTACACCCAGGACCCCATTCAAACCCTTAGTGGCTCGGTCTCAGCTAGCTGATGAAAGTTGCAAGCGAGAATTTTATTATCGTTTGCAGCTGGGGTTGGCATCATCCCCCACTCCTCCAGATGTCGAGGGGAAATGGGCGAGGTTTAGGACTGTGGTTCATGCAGCTGCAATGGCTGCTTTGGGTACGCGGTCCAGACCTCCGCAGAGACCCTGGCTGACAGAGGAGGTGTTCAAGCTGGCTGAGAAAAAAATTAACCCGTAAAAACAAAGTTTTTCACTATAAATCCTTTATATGCGTGGCATCGGTTTCATTTTATTATTCATTTCTGTTTTTCTTGAGTAAGTAAGCAAGCGAAGTTAATATAAAGGATTTAAAAATGAAAGATCACCTCTTGACATGCCCCGTATATTCCCGAGGGCACTAGCGTTGACCCGTTTTACCACTTTCAAGAACCTAGCGGCTTCAATTTAACTGCTCTATAAATAGTCTCCACTTTACAGCGTGGGGGCAGGGATTTCATGCCATGTGGTTAGTCAACATTTGCGTCATCATGAAACGGGCGGCTCGAGTCCTCTCGTCCTCTGGCTTGAGATGGCTGCCACCTATGGGTCAGTTTATTGTCTGCCACCATTAAGCATTTGGTAAATAAATATTTTTTTTTAAATCCCTAAACAGTGTTTAACATTTTGGAAAAAAAATTTCACGAAAATTAATTGTCACGCACAACGAGTCTGTGTGCAAAATGTCAGCTCGATTGGATCACGGGAAGTGGGATAAAAAACGACCGAAAGATTTGCACGGTCCTAAGCAAGCAAGCACGCAAGCAAGTGAACTTAATATAAAGGATTTAATAAGTATAACCCGTAATAAGTATAACCCGTAAAAACAAAGTTTTTCACTATAAATCCTTTATATGCGTGGCAGCGAACTTCATATAAAGCATTTAAAAATATATTCGCCTGTGGAGGACGCGGGGATCGATCCCACGACCTTTGGCATGGGAAGCGAGGGCACTACCAACTGCGCTACTCCGCCACGGCTTGTGGAGGGGTTACGCTCTGGGCTCTTATACTGTGACGATCAGCCAAAGCCATGAATGAGTTATATTTGAATATATGTAAAATTATTTTTTTGCCTAAAAAGTGTAAAATTTTGGGAATTTTTTTTCACGAACATTGTCTGGCACAACGAGTCTGTGTGGAAAATGTCAGCTCGATTGGATCACGGGAAGTGGGTTAAAAAACGACCGAAAGATTTGCACGGTCGTAAGCAAGCAAGCAAGCACGCAAGCAAGCAAGCGAACTCAATATAAAGGATTTAAAAAAACAAAGTTTTTCACTATAAATCCTTTATATGCGTGGCAGCGAACTTAATATAAAGGATTTAAAAATATATTCATCTGTGGAGGACGCGGGGATCGATCCCGCGATCTTTGGCATGGGAAGCGAGGGCGCTACCAACTGCGCTACTCCGCCACGGCCTGTGGAGGGGTTACGCTCTGGGCTCTTATACTGTGACGTTCAGCCAAAGCGATGAATGAGTTTTATTTGAATATATGTAAAATACATTTTTTTGCCTAAAAAGTGTAACATTTTGGGAATTTTTTTTCACGAACATTAATTGTCTGGCACAACGAGTCTGTGTGGAAAATGTCAGCTCGATTGGATCACGGGAAGTGGGTTAAAAAACGACCGAAAGATTTGCACGGTCGTTAGCAAGCAAGCAAGCATGCGAACTTAATATAAAGGATTTAAAAAGCGACAGGCCCACTTTCATCGGCTACAGCATCCCATGTCAGCGAATGAGGAGGCTTACCGATAGCCTTTGCTCGGAAGTTCGGAGAGCCGTGAGGCACTGCAAGGATGGGTGGTGGAGAGAAAAACCGAAGTGCCCAGAGGAAGAAAATCCACGCAACCACAGGGAGCGAGAGAGAAAGAGATAGACACACAGACTCTAATTATATGGCAGGCATCGTCCCGGTCGGGATCTTACCACAAACCACCAGAATGCTAAAAGGAAGTTATGCCCACTCACCCATTCCTCACCACCATCCTGTGCGGGTGGGGATGATTGTGGTGAGGATGCGTTTCTCTCATCCGTTGCTCCTCCTTTCTTTGCCACCCATTGAATTTCATAAAGTTTCACAGACACGAGCTTCTCCCTCGCTTCTTCCGCCACAGTCTCCAGTGTCGTATCCTTCCTCACCTTGGGTTTGCTCTCCCATTTCTGCTCACACTTAGCTTGTGGGCAGGATAATTCTGTCTGCGTCGATTCCAACTCCCAGTGGACCTCAACGCAGACCTCGCAGAAGCTGTGACAGCATGACAACCTCACCGGATTGTAAAATAAACACCCGCATATCTGGCAGGTGCATTCATCTGGGTTTGTCTGATCTGTAATAGAAGACACACACCACCACCAACAAGAAAGATGTCAATGATAGGGTTCACAAATTTTGTTTGTGGCTGCCCATAGACTCAGCACTGCAACCCATAGACTCAGCACTACCCATAGCCTCAGCACTGCCCATAGATTAAACACTGATACCCATAGACTCAACACTGCTACCCATAGGCTCAGCACTGCTACCCATAGACTCACCACTACCCATAGACTCAACACTGCGCATAGACTCAACACTACCCATAGACTCAACACTACTCATATACTCAACACTATCCATAGACTCAACACTGCCCGTAGACTCAGCACTACCCATAGACTCAACACTACCCATAGACTCAACACTACTCATATACTCAACACTATCCATAGACTCAACACTGCCCGTAGACTCAGCACTACCCATAGACTCGACACTACCCATAGACTCAACACTACCCATAGACTCAACACTACCCATAGACTCAACACTACCCAGACTCAACACTACCCATAGACTCAACACTACCCATAGACTCAACAATGTCCATAGACTCAACACTGCCCATAGACTCAACACTGCGCATAGACTCAACACTACCCATAGACTCGACACTACCCAGACTCAACACTGTCCATAGACTCAACACTGCCCCTATGACTCACCTCTACCTGTAGTTGTAGTTTGTAGTTCACCTTTGCTCTGTTCTGAGCCCATGTCGTTGCTGTGCCTCTTACAATCGCAGCCACGAGCGTTGTCCTTGATGTGGAGAGTTCTGTGGGCAACATGGTGTGATAGTGAGCTTGTGTAGTATATAGTGTAGTGTATAGTGTAGTGTATATTAGTGAATAGTGTAGTGTATAGTGGTGTAGTGTAGTTTATAGTAGTGTCGTATATAGTAGTGGAGTGTATAATAGTGTATAGTGTAATGTAGGTTATGGTCTAGTGTATAGTAGTGTAATACCGTTGACGACTCTTGACGCCGAAGTTGGAGGCACAGGGGTTTATTTCACAGCACAACAGTGGGCATATAACACTCGAGGGAGTATCGGCCCCCTCACCCGGCTAGCTGGGAAATACACACGCTAGCTACCCTAGCCTGCCTCTTAGTCCTCCTCTAACGGGCTAGGGGAGGCTATATGGCCCGACACTGGTAAGTCGGGCCCGGTACCCGGAGTCCCAGACCTGCTCTGACAAGAGCACCGGCTCTGGCTCTCGGAACCACGCCGCTGGCTCGATCCTGTTCGGCCCTGATAAGGACGTCGAACTAGGGGAGTCCAGGGCTTCTAGCTAAGATGTCTTCAGTCTTCTCGTTAGCTTAACATTTCTCCCCGAGCCCTCTGACACATCCCCTTTTATACTCAACCCCCGCTGAGGGGTGGGGCCCCGGGCTGCCTGGTGCGGACGTCGTTGAGAGCACCCCCCCCCCGTGCACTCATGTAGCCCCGCCCACTGTGTTTGTTTCCCATAAGCTGCCATGCATAACGGCTCTCTCTCTAACACCCCTACATCACCCCCCCCGCATAGCTTGCAGCCGTCCCGGCTGCCAACATAAAAAAAAAACGACAATAAAAGCGCATTTTGCCCCCTGACCGCGCGTGTGCCTCACTATTTTTCAACAATAACAAGAACAACAACAAGAACACAACAAGAACGCAACAGCAAGAAGAGAAAACAACCCGACGCACCCCCCCGATTAAATACGAATTCCGTAAAAACAGTCTATACACAATTTGCAGGGAACCCACCACACACACAACACGCAATGAACACAACCTATGTACACATCTTCCGGCCTCACAACAGTCTGCGCATTTTTGCGCGTGTCCGTGCAGCGGGCCCCTCACACGCGGTAACCCCGAGTGGTGGACCGTCAGGTGGCAACTGTCCGTCTCGGAGTGAGTCCTCATCCGACGCCGCGTGACCCTTGGCATCCCCAGGAGGGGTGATCGGGCGTGAGCTCGTCATTCCTGAAGCACCTGGAGGTGGCACAGCCGGCAAGGCATTAGGTGAGCGCGACGGAGACGGACCCAGTGAGTCGGTCGACCCCCCACATGTTTGGCCACGCGTGTGTGAAGTGGGGATGTGTACCGCAACGAAGGGTTTTAATCTAGAGGGGTGGACGAACCACCGCCGCTTCCCCTATTTGATGCGCACGCACTGCGGTCGCAAAACCTCGACCACCTCCACAGGGCCCCGCCACGGCCGCACCAGCTTAGAGGAGGTTGTGAGTGGCACCTGGAGACAGTGCAGCCATGCCTTGTCCCCCGGCTTCCACTGCAGCATGTGCGCCCGACCCAGTCTGAGCCGCTCATTCGCTTTCTGACGGAGGTCAGAGTTTTGCATGGCAGCATCCCGTGCCTCTGTCAATTTGGCCAAATTAAATTTCACATGGTCAGCCAATTTAGTTTTTCCCTGAGGCGCGGGGATCTGCAGCTGGGCACGAACAGGCGGGTCAGGTTCGCGGCCGTACATGAGGTAGAAGGGTGAAAATCCCGTAGCTGCGTGGGGGGCCATCCGGTACGCCGCCAATACCCCTTGAATTTGCAAGTCCCAATCGGTCTGTGAGTCCGACACCTGCTGTGACAACATTGACGCGATGGTCCGATGCAGACGCTCGACCATCCCGTCAGTCTGCGGGTGATACGGACGGAGAGGTACGAATTTTCTTCGTGCCCAGGAGCTCACAGACTTCTTTGAGCAATTTACCGGAAAAATTTTTGCCCTGGTCGGTCAGCAGCCGCTCCGGAGCACCTTTGTCCAGGACATAACCCTGAACAAAGGCCTCCACGATGGCTGCTGCCGACTGGTTGGCAAGGGGCCAGGCCATAGGCCAGCGTGTAAAATACTCCACACCAGTTAACAAATATCTATTGCCCCTGGGTGTGGCGGGGAATGGGCCCAAAATATCCAGCGCGACGAGTTCGTTAACTCTGGACACTTTGATTGACTGCAAGGGTGGGTTAGACACACGTGCTGGCGGTTTTCGTTGCGCGCACCGAGGGCATGACCCCAGTAAATCCCCGACATCCTTCGTCATGCCTGGCCAAAAATAATCGAGTTGGAGTAAGGCGAGGGTCTTTTGGGTCCCCAGGTGTAGGAGGCGCTCATGTGCGGCCCACACCGCCTTGCCCCGCAACCCCGAAGGGACCACCAGCCGATGTCGATGGGATTTTCCGTCCCAGTGCATCAGCAGACCATGCACCAATTCCCATGCGTCGGCATCACCCCTGCCCTGCCCAGCACAGCCGACGCGACGACGCATCCCGAGGAGAGAGGTATCCTCCATCTGGAGGCGCCCCCATTCATTGACGGGCAACTCCAACAGGGAATCTTTTCCCTGTTGTGCGATTGAATTAGGAACCAATGTTTCGTCGTGGCCGGCGGCCACCAGGACCGGAACCGGTATGTCCCCTGCTGGCCAGCAACGTCCCGACCCCAGGAGGCATGCACATTCGGAGGTGGTTGGCATGCGCGACAGAGCGTCAGCATTTGTGTGGCGAACGCCCTTACGGTAGGTGGTTTCAAAATCAAAATCCTGGAGGATCTCCAACCATCGGGACAATTGTCCCGATGGCTGTTGAACTCGCAGGGCGTACTGCAGTGCCGCATGATCTGTGCGGACGGTGAAATGCCGACCGTACAGATATGGGCGATACTGTTGGATGAAATAGACAATTGCCAATAGTTCCCGACGGGTGACACAATATCTTTGCTCCGCCGGAGACAACACCCGACTGCCGTACGCAACCACCCGTTCCACGCCGTCAACCACCTGGGAAAGCACGCCCCCAATAACTGTGTTGCTCGCATCGGTGTCGAGCAAAAAAGGCTTAGAAAAATCGGGGTAACTCAAGGGAGGAGCTTTTACCAGGGCGTCCCGAAGGGAGCAGAAAGCAGCCTCCTCCTCCTGACCCCAGTGGAACCGAACCCCTTTTGATGTTAAAGCGTGTAGGGGTTTCACAATCGTCGCAAAATCTGCGATGAAACGTCGGTAATACGACGCGAAGCCAATAAAACTCCTGACCTCTCCCACCGAGGTGGGAGTCGGCCAGGAGCTGACGCACTGCGTTTTGGCGGGATCGGTAGCAATACCTGAGCGCCCCACGATGTGTCCCAAATAACGCACCGAATCGCGTAACAGATGACATTTTTGGGGTTTGAATTTCAAATTAGCAGCCCGCATCTTTAGGAAAACCGCCCGCAACCTCTGGAGATGTTCGTCAAAAGTTTTACTAAAGACGATAACGTCATCCAAATAAATCAGGCACGAATCCCATTGCAATCCAGCCAAAACCAATTCCATCAAACGCTGGAAAGTTGCCGGCGCTGAGTGGAGTCCCATCGGCAACCGGTTGAATTTGAACAGGCCGTGCGGTGTACGGAAAGCAGTTTTAGGCTTTGAATCATCGTCCAGAGGAAGCTGCCAGAATCCCGAAAGTAAATCCAATGTGGAGAAGAATCGCGCTCCCGCCAAGGCGTCCAGCGATTCGTCAATCCGTGGGAGCGGGTATGCGTCGGCAACCGAAATTTTGGTAAGGCGCCGAAAATCAATGCAAAACCGCAACGAGCCGTCTTGCTTTTTAACCAGGACGATCGGCGCTCCCCAAGGGCTGGTGGAAGGAGAAATTATGTCGGCGGCTAACATGTCATCAATAGCTAATTTGACATGGTCCTTTTCGGCGGGACTTAACCGAAACGGATTCTGGCGTATTGGCGCGCTGTCACCCATATCAATATGGTGACGCAGCAGATGAGTGCAACCCAAATCGTATTTGTCCCGAATGAAAACGTCGGAAAATTCCCACAGTAGCGTTTTAAGCTGTTGATGCTCTGAATTTGACAGGTCCGTCGATCCCGCACAAAGCGCCTCGAGCCACCCTTCATCGTTGTCCGAATGTGGTCGCGGCGCAGGGACAGCACTCACGTGATTCGCGACGGGTTCCTCACAGGGCACCGGCATCGCGTGAGCAAGCACGGTCCCCTGCGGGACCACCACCGTCTGCGAGCCCACATTGAGGACCGCGATGAAGGGGTCTCCGTCCCCTCTTACTATGGTCTGGGCTGGAAGTAAATGAGGTCCACTAACCCCGGCCCTAGATGGCCCCAGCAGAACCCCTTGGGCCCCAATGCCCTTAGCGAAGGGCCGCCGAAGTTTCAAAGGAACCAACATTTGTGCCCCCGGAGGAACGCGCACCGTTCTATCTACAAACGCCGGCACTGTTGCGAACGCCGTCCGACTCGTACCGGGGGATGGCAGAAACGCCATGCGTCGGCCCGACGGGAGCTCAATGCACCCCTGGTCGATTAATATCCTAATCGGCATTTTGGCCAGGAAGTCCGTCCCCAGCAGACACAGAACCGCCAGCGAGGAGGAAACAAAAATCGGCCCAGACAATTTAATATCCCCGATACAAATTTGGGCTCGAATCTGTCCGATGATGCCAAGTGAGCCCCCGTTAGCAGCAAAGAATGGCACGTTAACAGGCATCAAAGGACGGCTCTGGGCAGGGAGAATATTGTAAATTAACTCCGAAATAATGGTCGCCGATGCTCCCGTATTGACCAGGATGCGCACCTCGACCCCGTCGATGTGCCCCACAACGGCCGACGACCCCGACGGCGCGGCTACAACACGATGGGCCAACACGGACCACTGGCTGGGTTCAATCTGAGTACCCAGAGCGGTGCGTGTTGGTGCGATGGTGCACGATATTGGCCCCCCAATCGGTGCGGTGTATGAGTGTGTGGTGGGTGTGTGCGTGGGCCAAACAT